CTCTGCCATCTGAAGCTTTCGCTGTCTCTTGGTATCATCTGTGTAAGCATTATGATCAGTCTCAATAACCACTAAATGACCACTCTCTTGATGGATGACAAACTTGCGTGGAGTGTACTCAAGTGGATGGGATACCTGAAATCAAAAGTACTTATAAGAAAACTAGGTCTAATAACTATCTTCTTTTACTTTCTCCTCAGAAACCAAACAAGCTTATGCATGATTCCCTCTAACCCTGCATAAAGAAAGAGGATATCTACCTGGTTAAAAACAGCTCCCAGTTTTTCCAGAGCCAAAATCCTTAGTGTGTTGGTGGAAATAGCTACAATACCTTCAGGGCACTGCTCTGAGGAGAACCCTGCAGCATACTCCAGACTTTCATATGACAGTGGTGTCAGATGAAATCTATTCTGATAATAATAGGACAGCCAGGAACGAGAAGACATAGCAAGAACCTGCAAAGATTAGTTTTATAAGAATCTCTGTAAGATACAGGAAGCAAAAGTAAGATTATGAAATATATACTTATTACATTTTTGTATCATGTCCATCAATGGCACAATAACCAAAAAAAAAAAAAAAAGGAATAAATGTTTATATATATATATATGTGTGTGTGTGTGTTTGTGAGAGTGAGTGTGTGTGGTGATAGAGTGAGTCCTGGTTGGTGGGTGAGTGTGGGTTGAGGGTTGGTGGTGGGGGGTGGGTGAGGTGGGTGGGTGGTGTTGGAGTGGTGTGTGTTTGTGTGTGGAGGTGTGTGTTTGAGTTGGATTGTTTGTGTGTGTGTGTGTGTGTGTGTTTGATGTGTGTGTGTGTGTGTGGTGTGTGTGTGTGTGTGTGGGGGGTGGGGTGCGGTGGGTATGTGAGGTGGGGGGGGGGGGGGTGGGTGGGGGGGGCTGAGTGAGTGTGTGTGTGTGAGGTGTGAGTGAGAGTTTGTGTTTGAGAGTGTGAGTGTGTGTGTGGGTTTGTGTGTGTGTGAGTGGGGGTGTGTGTGTTTGTGGGTGTGTGTGGTGAGTGTGTTTTGAGTGAGTGTGTTGGGTGTGTGTGTGTGTTCGAGGTGTGTGTGAGTGAGTGTGTGGGTGTGTGTGGGTGTGTGTGAGAGTAGGTGTGTGTGTGGGAGGGTGTGTGTGTGAGTGAGTGTGTGTGTGTGTGGTGTGTGTTTGTGGAGTGTGTGTGGTGGTTGTGGGTGTGGGAGTGGGTGGGGGTGTGGGTGTGGTTGTGGGTGTGGGTGTGGGTGTGGGTGTGGGTGTGAGTGAGGGAGTGGTGTGTGGGTGTGGGTGTGGGTGTGTGAGTAGTGTGGGTGTGAGAGTGTGTGTGTGTGGTAGTGGTGTGTGTTTGGGTGTGTGTGTGTGTGTGTGAGAGTGTGTGTGTGAGAGTGTGTGTGTGTGGTGTGAGTGAGTGTGGTGTGTGTGTTTGTTAGTGGGTGGTTGTGGTGTGTTGGGTGTGTGTGTGTGTGTGTGTTGGTGTGTGTTTGTGTGTGTGTGTGTGTCGTGATGTGTGTGAGTGTGTGTGGGTTGTGTGTGTGTGTGGTGTGAGTGGTTGTGGTGTGTGTGTGTGTGTGTGGTTGTGTGTGTGTGTGTGAGTGTGTGGTTGTGTGTGTGTGTGTGTGTGTGTGGTTGAGTGTGATTTTGTAGGTGTGGTTGTGGAGTGTGTGTGTGGTGGTGGGGTGTGAGTGTGTGTGTGAGTGTGTGGTGTGTGTGTGTGTGTGTGTGAGTGTGTGTGTGTGTGTGGTGTGTGTGTGTGGTGTGTGTGTGTGTGTGTGTGTTGTGTGTGTGGGTTTGTGTGTGTGTGTGTGTGTGTGTGTGTGTGTGTGTGTGTGTGTGTGGTGTGTGTGTGTGTGGTGAGTGTGAGTGTGTGTGTGTGTGTGTAGTGGTGTGTGTGTGTGGTGTGTGTGTGTGTTTGGGGGGTTTAGTTTGGTTGTGTGTGTGTGTGTGTAGATGATTGGTGTGTTGTGTGTGTTTGAGTTTTAGTGTGATGTGGGTGGGTGTGTGTGTTTTGTGTGTGTGTGTGTGTGGTGTGTTTGGTGTGTGTTTGTTTGGTGTGTGGTGTGGGTTAGGTGTGTGTGTTTGAGTGTGGTGTGTGGGTGTGTGTGTGTGAGGGTTTTGTGAGGTGTGTGAGTGATTTGTGTGTGTTTTGAGTGGGTTTGGGGTGAGTGTATGGTGTTTGTGTGTGTGTGTGTTTGAGATGTGTGTGTGTGTTTGAGAGGTGTGTGTGGGTGGGTTTTGTGTGATGTTGTTTGTTAGAGTTTGTGTGTGTGTGATTGATGTGTGTGTGTTTGGTGAGGGTGGGTTTGGTGAGTGTGTGAGATATTGAGAGTTTGTGAGTTGTGTGAGTGTGGGTGTTTGGTGTGGTGTAGTGTGGTTTGTGTGTGTGAGTGTTGTGTTTGAGTGTGTGATAGAGAGAGTGATTGGTGTTGAGAGTTTGGTTAGTACGTGTTTGTGAGTTGAGTGTTTAGAGTTATTAGTTATTGAGTTGGTGTGATAGTGAACTGGTCTTTCATTGGAGTGTGTGAGATAGTGTATATTGATTTATAGTGTATCAGATATTGTGATTGATAGAGGGAGTTATATATTTTTATAGTGAGATTTAGTAGAGTAGAGATTTGTCAGATTGATTGATGTGTTAGATTGTATAGATGTTAGATATATATTTGTTATATTTATATAGATATATGTATTATTTTTAGATGTATAGATTATATATTTAGAGTTATATTTATTTATATTTAGATATGTAGATATATATATTATGTATTATTTTTTTTTAAATATATATATATATATATATATATAAAATATATATATTATATATACTTATATAGTATATATACTTATATAGATTATATACTATATATTATATATATCATATATATATATATTATACATATATATATATATATATACATATAAATATATATATATATACATATATATATATTATTATATACATATATATATATATATATATAATACATATATAATATATATATATTATATGTATATTAAATATCTCTACTATATTATCTATAATATAATAATAATATCAATATATATATAAATAAAACAAATATATCAATAAACAAATAAAAACAATCAAAACTATATCACTCAACATCTACAATACACACAACAACCCAAAAAAACAAACAAAAATACACTCACACACACACATACAGAAACACAAACACACACACACAAACACACACACACAACCCCCCCCCCCCCCCCCCCCCCATATATCTATATATATATATATATAAGTGTATGTATATATATATAATTTATAGTGTTTTATATATATTTGATAGATATTTGGATGTTTATATATCTTATATATTGATTTTTTTTTATTTTTTTTATTATATATTTTTTATATGATGTAAATTATAGATATATATATATGTATTTTTTTAGATATATTTTTGTAGATTTTTTTGTTAGAGTTTTTTTTAGATAGATAGTTGAATATATTTTTTTATTTAGAGTGATATATAATTTATATTATTATATTTATGAATATAGATATTTTTGATGAGTTATTTTTATGGATTTTTTATATGATTTTTTATAGATTTTTATATTGATAATATTATATAGATATATATATATTTATATTTGTTATATTGGTTTTTTTATATGGAAGTATGGAATTTAGGAATATATGATTTGTGATATTATTTAGATATAGTGATATATATTTATTTGTATATATGGTGATATGTTTATATGGATATATGTATAGAGGTATTATTGATTATATATTATATTTATTTATATTATTTATATTGATATAGATGTTATTTGTATATTTGTATAGATGGAGATGATTTTTGTAGTAGATTTATTGAGATATGTTTTTGATGTTAGATTTGTATATTTTGTAGTATAGGGTTTATTTGTTTTTTATTTATATTAATTTATTATTATATATTTATATTTATTGATATATTGTATATTGTTGTGGGATTTTTGTATATTTGTTTGTAGGTATATATGTATATTTGGTGTTAGTATTTATGTATAATAGGTATTTATGTTTATAGGTACTATAGGGATATATATATATGTATTTTTGTAGTATTTATATATGTTTATTATAGTGTTGTTTTGTTTTTTATTATTGATATAGAGATTTTTATATATATTTTTATATATATATAAATATATATATATATAGTATATAGGTATAGGTATATAGGGTAGATTATGTATATATTTGTATTTGTTTATATATGTATATGTATATGTATATATTATATATATATTTATATATTGTTATTGATTTACTATATATATTTTTATAGATTTATGTTGGATATATAGTTTTTTTTATAGAGTGTTATATATATAGTGATATATTAGATTTATATAAAGATTATAGTTTTTTTATATATTTAGTATAATTTATATAGAATTTACTATAGTATATATTATATATATATAATATATATATTATTTAGATTTTATATTTAGATTTATAGTTTATATATATAATATATTTTATAGTTTTATATATTTATATATTATTTCATATTATTATATAATTTATTTATATATATTTTAGATATATAATGAGATATATATTATTTTTTTCATTTTTAGATTTTATTATACTGTGATATATGTATTTTATACTTATATTATAAGTTATATATTGTATAATATATTTATATTTATATGTTATATATATATTTTGAGTAATATTTATATATATTTATATTTATATTAGTTATTCTTTATTATATATATATATATACTAATAGAGATATGTATATAACGAATATATATATATATATATATTATTTATATCTATATTTAGAGATATATATATATTTTATATTTATATATATATATAGTATTAATATTGATTTTATAGATATATTTAATATATATTTATATTTATTTATATATATATATATTTTTTGACTTTATATATATATATATTTTTTTTATATATATATACTTATTTTATATATGATAGATATTATATATACTATTATT